CTACAGCTAGTTCTGGCTCTGGGTTGGGTCTGGGCCTGACTTGCTTTCATAGGCGCAAGTGAGCTGACTTAGTATACATGGAGGAGTCTGGCAAGAAGCAAGCAAAGGCTCAGGTCCACTCATCTTTTAAAAGTGCATGAAACAATACCTTATCGTGTAATGTGATGATCTCTGGAGAACATCTGGGGACTGTGACCTCAAAGCACTTACAGCTGAAAGGAGGCAAGGGACTGGCAAAAAATCTATTTGGCTAACTGCTGACATGTGGTGTCTAACTCGGTGTGAATTTTACCAAAACATACCTACCTCTGCATTATGTGGGAACAACTTTCTTCTTGAGAAGTATTTTTATTGATCAGCACTTTGTCTTGTAAAACTGCAACAGTTTTTTAACAAGGCAGTTAGGTGCCCTGGAATGGCATTAGTAATTTGCTAAATGAGCAGACGGGTTTGACTTTTCTGTGCCGGATGATTCCATCCTACATAGCAAACAGGGAACGGCCCAAGGCTCCTTCATTTGTACTGAACCAAAATCTAATAGCATGTTAGACAGCTTCTGCGACTATTTATGACTTACTGAAGATAAAATTAAGCTTCATCTCTCAGATCAAAAGTATTACCCACAAAAATCTGCCAGAGATGTCAGGGTTCTCAAGTGGGACCCCACCCCTGCCCATGGGCTCAGGAGCCACATTTCAGCTCAGCCCAGGGCCTTCAGTCCCTGCCCTAGTGCTGCCACAGAAGTGCTGGTCTCCACTTCTGCCACGGCTCACATGGCACCCTGACAGGAGGTTCTAATAGAAGAAAGATTCCTGAATATATGAATATCTTAAGCAGCAAAGGAAACATAGCACAGGCTAAAAGTCACCCACCCACAAAGCTAAAGTCCTAGTTCCTCCAAGCACAAGCTGAGAAAGAATTGTCTTAGACAATGAAGAGAAGATACAGCTTGAAGAATGTGTAGGGTCATACTGCAATATATCTACAAAAAAGAATATTTTCTCTGGTGTAAATATTCTGGGAAATTTATTTCCCTCCAGGAATATTCTTGTATAAATCAGAATCCATTATTTTACTGGAGTGATGTTAATTTATACCAGCAGAAAATCAGTCCTTTTATAATTGTTATAGGGAGAAAATAGCTTACAATATTAAAAGTAAATAGAAAGTATTAGGTACTTCCTTGATTTTCTAGCACTTGTAAAATGCTAACTAGACAGAAGCAGTTATTGATGGATCCAGCCATACTTTTGGAGTCAGGAAACCCCTTAAAAAACCACATAAAATGAAAGCATTTATAGGAAACAGATGTACTGATGTACTTTGTGTTCATATGAAAAACAAATGGATGTAATCAGAACAGTTAGGTCACTGCTCATTTAATTAATTTGCTTACAACAACCATTAATTTATTTCCTTGGAATAAAATCTGATGTGTCTCTTAGCTTCTTCTTGCATCACCCAAACTTTATTTGGCCTCACTATGCCGGGTCCAACACCTTCCCTGCCAGGCTTGCACCTGGGTTATTTATATTTGACATGTAATAACAGCTGCTTGTGATTCTGGTCAACTGACATTCTCAAAAAGGCAGCCACCCGAAGTGTCCCTTGTCTCACTAATTCTAGCCGGAATGAAAAAAATTTTGAGCTGATATACCTGCTATGTTTTTCTGAAACTTGGCCTCAGCCCATTCTTGTTGCTTGTTGAGAATTTCCTACACAAAATAGAGAACATCCTTCAGCCCTAACCCCAATAACTAGCTTCCTTGTTAACACCAAAAAACATGAAAAGGAAAAAGGATTATAAAGTAATATCATCCTTAAAGGTATTGTTTGTGATGCCTTCAGAATTTTTAAAAAATATTTTCTGCCCTTTTCTGTCATGTTCACATACTCTACAATTCTTTATACCCATTTGCCAGCAAATCCAGATGGTTCTATCCTGTATACACTTTGTAGTGATATGGGTAAACAGGTGAAATGAGATGGATACCTTCTGTACATTCAAGTTTCAACGGTGTGAATTCAAGCAAATGTCAATGACAAGCAATTTTTATCAACATAATGTAGCTTTGTCAATGTGGGGAGCAAAGTAAGGTTGCTGTGGAAATCATTAATTATTTGATGTTTCTATACAAGGGACTTTTTGAAAAGAAACTGTGGACAAACTGTATGTTTGCATCAAACCCCTGCCTCAGAGTTTCTGCCAGCCTCCTTGTTAGGCTGTTCTCCATCCTTCAATTGTGACCCAGCTTGGAGGTTTGTTTTGCTTTTCAGTTTCCTCTAGGGCATTGGATTTGGTCCTTGTTAGAAAAAGACGGAGACAGATGAATGTGAGTTGTGCACTTCCCAGCACTGGACCTGCTCTTTACCTCCCCCTGGCATCCTCAGCACAATTCTGATCACCAGTTAGGTTGGCAGGGGAACTGGGACAGGGGTTCACAGGTTCTTGGACTGGATGGTTATTGGACTTTATGTTTTTGTATTGTGTTGGGCATAGCCCAGCTTGTAGGATTGTTCAGATGAGGAATTTAGCATATACTCATGCAGGAACTAGGCATACGATTTACAGCTGCTTCTTTCTTCTTCTGGCATGTTTAGGTGAAAGCTTTATGTCTTCACTGTACTTCTTCAGTTAGTAGAAGAGATGGGGAAGTGTTTTCCGGCATAGTGGAAGACTTGTGAAGAATCTGTGGAACTTTCTGTGCAATTGTACAGTTAGCATACTTTTCCCCGTGGCCACAGAAAATTTATGTGATATCCAAGGCAACTCCTTCCAGTCCTCTGTTCCAGCCAGAAGGCCAACTTGCAGCAGTACTGCTTTTCAGGAAATTGCCATGTAACTCCCTCTTGGAAAGTCTAATTTCCAGTAAGAATTTTATCAAGGCTTTAGGAAGGCAGAACCTCTCACAAATCAGAAATTCAAGGTTTTGATCTGACAAGCTCTATTGTGACAGCTGAGATGTCAGATCAGATTACACAGAATCACAGAATCACAGAATAGTAGGGGTTGGAAGGGACCTCTGTGGGTCATCTAG